TGGGTACCAGAATCGTGCCTTTTTTACCCGGGAGCACGCGGACTTCATAGAGAAATTGAGACTGAAGGACGCAGTGGATGAAGCGAGAAAAAAAGATCTTGATGAAATCGCGAGACTGAAGGGACTTGGGTTGGAATTTGGTGGTAAAAAAGAAGTTGATGAAGTGAAAGAGAAGAAAGGTAAGAATAGAAAGCAAGGGAAAGATAAGGGAAAAGGGAAAATCGTGGAGGATGGAAAGGAGGATGCAATGAAGAAATGGGTGGCGACGAACTTTGGGGGTTCTCTGAAGATACTTTCAGAGAAATTGGAGGAGGTGGATAAAAAATCCAAGCTGAAGGATGATGAACTGGAAGAGCTAAAGTTGCTGAGGGCGGAGAAGGAATTAAGGGAGTTGAGGGAGAATTCTAGTTCTGAAAAAAGGAAGAGGGAGTCACCGTCGCGCCCTTTGAAAGGTAAAGTTCGATCTAGATCGGTGCTTTTGAGAAAGAAAGGTAAAGAGCAGACTCTGAAGCCTGTGTTGCTGTCGTCGGACGAGGAAGGGAAGGGAACTGAAAGAGACGGGGTAGTACAGAATCTGAGCGGGAAATTGGATGGATCGGCCGGTGGAACGAAGGATTTGGCGGAATTGAAAGACCTGCTGAAGGAATTGTTGGCTGGAAAAGCCGCCTGTAGCAGCAATGTAACAGTTGGGCAGGAAGTAAAGCAGGATGAAGAGGGGTTGGGACGGGGTGAGCAGGATGGAGATGCTGATGTACCTCACAAGGTGGCAGTTGGAACTGATAAGAACGAGGATGGGGAGAAGGAAGAAGGGTCACTGGGGCTATATTTCAAAGACAGGGTGATCTATTACGACGCAATGCACTACACGGAAATACAAGCGTTGTGCAAAAAGAAGGGTATCCCGTACAAAAGGAAAGAAGGGGGAGTCTGGGAGCTCGCCCGGCTAGATTTCGAAGTTTTGTTGAAACTGGAAAAGACGGATAAAAAGGCTGAAGTGGAGGAGGAAGATGGGACAAAGAGTGACGAGGATGATGAGGATGACACGACTAGTAGTTCCGATTCTGAGGAGGAGTCACAGGGTGATGATCTGGCGGGAAACTAGCGGGGGCTAGTAAAAGATCATTACTAAGATTATGCAGGAGACTGATTGAGCTTGATAAGCAGCATCACAGGGCCATTGGGACTGAGGTTGGTAATCTCCTAAAGTTGATTGTGCTAGCACTTTGTATCAGAGGAGACATAAAATGGGGAATGGCATACGTTAAATACTGGAGAAGTCTGAACACTGATGACTGGGATAAAATGCTAAATGGCAATAGTTGTGTTTATCTCCTTATCTCCCCTTTTTTCAAGCACACTTATGTGGGGAAGACGGAGAGGGATCTGAAGACCCGTTGGCTGGAACATGTGAGGACAACGGAATCTGCACCAAAGCAGAAGGTGCACCAGTGGCTGGGAAAAGTGGGTTTGTGAAATTATGTTGCTTTGCCATTATGGTGTGGGAGCAAGAGTTCATTGGGTTGCATGGAAGATGTCGTTATTCGTAGCCATAACCTGGGTTTAAATATGAGGAAGGGTAACCACAAACCCTCAAGGAGGAAGCCCAGAAGAAAATCAAAGAATGGGGAAAGCTGTGAAACATGTAAAAAATTCATTTTGTTTGATTGTGATGATCTAAATGTAAAAGGGGAACCAAGTCTCTTGAACATATTGAAAAAGACAGGAAATGTGCGAAGACTGAGAATCTCCAATTGTAAAGGAGAACATTGGCTCAAACCATGGGGTTTAGTGAAATTATTATTCGGCTTCAGTACTGTTGAATTCCTCGGGAAGAAATTCCTATTGAAGGATGCAAAGCCATTCATACAAGAAGGGGGGGAATGGTTTGTAACAGACTTAAAGAAGACGAGGAACAAATCAGAAGTGGCTAAGGCAGATGTGATCACAATTTTGAGGGCCCCTTGGAAGAGGAAGTCTCTGTACAAATTGAAACTAGAGGAACTGTTAGGACTGAACGATGGAATCAAACTATTAAATTCAACCAGGGGTAGACAAATCACCAGGGGGATTATCACAAGGGTTACAAAAGAGGTGTTTGGTATTAATCCAAGACATAGGATCACGGTGAAACTACCTTTCGCGGACTCAGTGAGTAAGAAAAAAGTGCATGCTTGCTTTAAGGAATGCTTGAGAGGGTTGATCTCACCAAGTTGTTTGTCTGACTTGTTGATTGGTAGAATGAGGACTGTTTGGCAGAAAAGAAAATCTGTCGGCGACATTCTGAATAATCACCAACACTTTGCAAGAGTGAGCGGTTGGCACTGCACTTGCAGAGGTTTTGACCTGCCCAAAGAAAACGGGCATGTTCGAGTCAGACTAGACGAAATTGAGGGGATCAGGGGATTTGTGTTGAATGCTAAAAACATTCCTTATCCAGGACGGTTGCTGACAGGGCGGGATGTGAATCAAGCGTGCAACAATGCGTTGGAGCCATTGAAGAAAATGGGTTGTGTACCACAGGCTGGGAAATTCCACCTAAATTGGAATGAATTTTTTATAAAAGGAACGGCGCACCTAGTAGGTTGTGACACTGAGTATGCCTTGGGTTTGAAACAAGCACTTGAGGGACTAGTTCTCTCCCCACTGGATAGAAATCCAGGAGCGACTCTTGTTGAATGCCCTACATTGTATGAAGATGGCATGCGGATGATGTACGATGAAAATGTGAGCTATAGGAAAATTGACAAACCTGAGAAGATGATACTAAAGGAAGTAAAAACACAGTATCTTGAAAGAAAGCTTGGGCAAATCGCGAGATGGGATAATAAGGGAAGATTACAACAAGCATACATCCTGTCGAAAGACAAGGTTGTCTGTAAGAAGAGGCCTATAGTGCCCTCCTTCCTACACCCCGCAAGGGATGCTATGGGTTATTTGGTGCAGAGTCTGAATTTTCTTATCAAAAGGTTGAGAATACCACACTTCAATCTCACGGGACCAAAGCACTTGCAAGAAAATATCAGAGTAGCGAATGAGTCAGCCCATCTTACCTATGGAATGGATGTAGGAATCACTATAAGGACATATGATGTGAAAGAGATGTTTACTAAATTACCCCATGAACAGATCATGAAGGCAGTAGCTTGGCTGGTCAGTTGGTTTAATGACAAATATCATTACTGAATCCGTATTAAGACAAGAGGAAAAAAGGCCACTTTTGGCAAATCGCACGGAGAAGCAGGCTGGAAATCGATAAGGTTATCTGATTTGTTGGCTCTGACGAAGTTTCAGCTGGAAAGTATGTTTTTCTACTCTTTGGATCAAGTCTTGAAGCAAGACATTGGCATTCCGATGGGAGGGAGAGCAAGCCCTCCACTGGCGAATGTTCTCTGCATTTACACGGAGCAGCAGTTTTTGGAAACTTTGGGAAAGGATGCAAAATGCATTAACGGCAGCCGGTTCATTGATGATCTGTTATTAATTGGGTGGTTTGACAGAAAGAAGAAAGATGGATTGGAGTGCGTTGAGCGCACCCTGGACAAAATCATGGGTTGCTATCACAAGAACCTTACGTTGGAGAGGAGTGACTCAAAAAATGGGATTGCTGAGTATCTGGAGACAAGGTTGGTTGTCACGGATTTTCCTGCGTGGATTCACAGCTTCCTGAAGTTCAAAACTTGGAAGCCATCTGGGAAGGGAAGGTTCGGCGATTCCGAACTTTGCGAAGTTTTCACTCTTATGCCCCCTTGATCCAGAAGTTTGGAACAGTGTCAAATGTGATCTGCAGGATCCTGGACAATACAAATACCAGACTCTCACTCTGGTGGAGTTTGGTTACTTTTTTGAAGGAAATGAAGGTGATTGGTTATCCGGAGGAGTTATTCAGAGCAGGGCTGAAGAAGATGGGGGGAAGAAACGCGCGACTTGACGATGATATGGTGGCAAGGTTGCTAGCATGGAAAGAAAATTGAGAACAAAAGGGAGGGAGGGAGGGTTCTCAGGCGGCCACAAGTGAGAGTAGCAAAGGTTGGGATGACGCTGTTGTGAGTGGCCTTGTTTTTTGGGCGGCAATTTTTCGTGTACTTCTTATATTTTTCGGATTAGTAATTTTGATAAAAATGAAGAGGGACTGTTTCAGTTTGGTCAGGCTGTGACGCCGCGCCGGCGGCACATCCAACGGTAACTTTGGTAGTGTTTCCGGCCTCGGTAGTTTTTTGCTGGCATTAGGCCGTGCAACTCTTAGGATAAAAGTAAAAATTGGGAGTTCATTCTCCTCTCTAGCCTGAGCAGCAGGACAAGAAGGGCGGAGCGCTGATGTGGTGTTTTGTTACGTCGGCGTCATCGGGTGTTTTTGCTGTGATATGTAAAGTCCACGACACCTGGTTTTTGTATTATCTATCTATCTATTTATCTACACAACCGCCTTGCTAATAGGATAGATTGCTATGCAGCAGTATAGCCTGCTGGCTATGCAATAGTATATCCTGCTGGCTATGCAATAGTATAGCCAGCTGGCTGCATCATGACACAGCCATAGGGCTATATCATAGTATAGCCATATATGGCTATATGATAGCGTATAGCAAGCTGGCTATACGGACTTTCATTAATTTATAGCCGTCTGGCTTTACGATAATATAGCTAGTTATGGATCAGAAGTGGCCGTTTGTTTTTTTTTCTAGCGAAAAACGAAAACCAAGAGAGACATGGCCCTTTCTTTTTTTTTCTGGTGACCAAAAAGTGATGCCATCACGTGTCTTTGTATCGTTGCAGGGTCTGGGCAAAATATCTCTCGTTTTTTCTGTTCCCCTGCCCCCCCCGTTTTTTCTTGTTTTCATCTCCCTTTTTTTTCCTTTCTCCGAAACGAGAAAAAGAGGGACCTTTTTCGCGGTTTACATTTCCTGCTCGCTTAAAAATTCCAATCGATGCCATCATGACATGATCAAGTTTTTTTTTTTTGGGGGTGTGGGGGTGGGGGTGGGGGGTGTGCACTGTTGCAGGGTCTGGTCAAAATACCTCAGGCGTGATGATGAAGTCACAGAAGAAGAATTTCAGGCATCTGGGTTCCGAGCCCTTGTGGAGCCCTTCAATGCATCTGTACTGCTTATGGTGACTACACACTGGTCAGTATAAATATATAAAATATATGCATTTTAAAAGGTGTTACGTTGCTTGCTATCTTGAAGTGCAAAAACTCAAAGAAAGACAATGCCGCGCACTTGCGACTGGAATGAAAGAACTTGGAAAGAGAAAATAGACAAAGGAAGAAGAAGAAATAAGAATGGAAGAAGGAAGGAGAAGAAGATAAACACCAGCAAGTAGCAATGTCCATTCCCCTTCACCCGATCATGCAGATGCCAACTCCAACTGGGGAGTCGGCTCGTGAACGATTTGTCTATTTTCTTTGCTTGCAATCGAGGGGACGGAAAGTCTATTGCTACAGCCAATAAGATCGGGAGAAAGTTCGAAAGTTGCTATCCCAACTCGCTGACCTTGAAAAGGACGAACGAGATCATTCCAGTTCTTGGGATTTTCTTGGGTGTGCTCTGGAGGTGAAGTCGAGTTTTCCTTTTTTGGGATGTTTTCAAAATTCCAAGAATCAAGATACGATTTTGGGTCTTCAGATGAGCGGATTTTCAAGACAGGTCAGGACTTCAATTCATGGTCCTGCAGAAGGCAGCAACTGGGCATCTATTACGGGCTGGTTGTACCGTATAGACCGGAATACGACGGTTCTAGCCCGTCTTCCCCAGCAGGTTGTTAGCCGGAGGAGGAAGGAGTACAGGGCAAGAGTTTTTCAGATTGCTTCTTCGCGAAAGCTCTCGAGAACTTCGCGCGAAACCGGGAGACTCAATTTGGCAATGGACCGCCAGCCTTCTATGTGGTGACTGAGACTAGTATTACTAATTCACACTACTATACATAGCATATTTCTGTTAAAAAAAAAAAAAAAAAGTCAGACCACGGTCTAGTCCTCTTTCGACATGGCACCAGGCTCGTGCCTGGTTTCGGGAAGTGGTGAGTAGGCGCAGTAAAGGGAGAAGAAGAGGTGTGCAATCAGACTCGACTCTGGACTTGCTCACAACATGCACACTTGAGTACCAATGGCAAACCAAACTCTTCCAACTCAGAAACAACAATCAACTTGTACTAAACACAGTCTGAATCAACTGTACAACTTGCGGCTATGCCCGCCAAATACTCTCTACCACCGGCCTCACTCTCCCACACTCTCGCATGGAAGCACGTATGAGGATCACCCTGAATGTCCACGCTGTACACACACACACACACACTCTGTACACCCTGTCTACACCAACAGCTGGGCGGCTATGGCTGCCGTCGTCTTCCTCCTCCTAGCTATGGCCGCCGGTGTCTCCTCGCTGTTTCGCTATGGCCGCTGTCTTCTTCACAACCCACTTCCTCTCCTGGCACCTGCAGACCTCCATGCACAAGATTGCAAGGCAGCTCTTCCGCATGGCWCACAGGCGAATGAATGAATGGCTGGACGCTGCCTCTTTATTTATACTTCTTCAGAGGTACCCGGGCCCTGCCTCAAAACGTGTGGGCCTGGGCCAAAACGTGTGACCCAGGGAAGCTTCCAGACGTTTGGCCTTCTGSCCAMAACRTGTGGAACCCACAGCGTGGTCCAGAACCTTCCCCACGTGCAGCCCCTACCCCTGGTACTTGCTGACTGGACTGGCCTACAGGGACCTACGACCTTCTAGAGCCTACAGACTTACAAACAGACTCTACTAGGCCTCAGTAGACTCAGATAGAGACTTCTAGAACAGACCTTCCTAAGCCTAACGGTAACCGACCTAACTCCTAATCTACAGACCTACCAGGTAGGGATCGAGTCTTACACAGATCGCTGGGCCTATGTACAGGGTAAAGGGTAGGTCTAGGGATCGAATCTCACTCAGCACAAAGGGTCAATGTACAGGGTTTGGGCACAGCTCTAGGGATCGAATCTCTGTGTCTGCAAATGTCGGGTCTGCTGGGTGAAACCATTTCAGGTGGAGAGTTGAGGCTATTATTCTCGAGTTGTCGTTTTCGCGACCTCTTGGATTAAGATTACTCTCGCTAAATGAAGCTTTTGTCGCAGACTTGGACTTCGATCTTGTTGATCGTGTGTGTGTGAAATTGTCACGCGTCCAACTGGGGCCTTTCCAGGTGCAGCGCCAACCAAGAGAATGAGGATGCAGATCACCATAGCCAGGATAGCTTCCCTGTCACTCTCCTCCTTGCTCACTGTCCTTGCTCACCGTCTTCCTCCTCCTCGTCCGTCTCCCAACTAGCCGCCTTCCTCCCTGGGTCCCTTCCACCATAGCCGAGGTGGAGCCCAGGCGGCACCTGCTTCCTCCTCCGCTCAGCGCTGCCTCAGCTGAGCAGACGCTCCAGCAGCGTGCCTCCGAGCTGCACACTTGCAAATGAGGTGGAGCACTTTTCCTCCCAGTTAGATATGCCGGCAAATTGCCTCCTCGCGCAGTTGCTTCAAAAGCTGCACAGCCTTCAAGTCTACCTGGTACCACCCACTTTCGGAGGGAAACATCATTGCAGTCTGATATCCCCCCCTGCCGGCTCTGGACTCAGGCTACTTGGACTGGTACCTGTTTCCCTAAGCCCACTGGACTCTAAATTCTACTTCGGCCCCCCAAGGTACTACTAACATGTTGTCTTCTTCTGCATACCTACCTGCTACTTGAGTGTTTTTGGCTGCAGTGGGCCTCTCCTACGCTACTACCCCCGCACAACAACACAGCCACAGGTAAGTGCCAGGCCCGTGGGCCTTCCCGGCACAGAAGTACCCCAGCAGGTCACTTGCACACCCATGCAATCAATGCAGACAGGCAATCACATGGAAACTCAGCAATCGCGCACACACACAAACTTAGAAACCTCAGCAGAATACGGGAATTTCAGCAAGTCACTCAAACAAGTGGCAAAGCTCAGAAAACGGCTGGTTTCTCAGTCTGTGATTTTGCAGGTCAGTACATAGGAAGTATCAGGAATGTGGTTCATCATTCATGCACTTATTTCTTTGTTTATCTTTTGAACTACCACAATGTCCAAGGGTGTTTTGCACGTCTCTATGTTGTCGGGCGTACGTGTACGGGGTCTTTGCGTACATAATGTACAGAATCTACAGATATTTTACGTATGGAACCCCGTACGTGGCCACATACGTTGTGTACATACAGCGTACGGGGGGGGAAAATAAGTCAAGAAAATCTGGGAAAAATAAGTTATGTGACATTGTCAGACAAGCAATGTTTGTCTGCGCACCAACCCCAAATTCTTATAGAAATACAAGAATAAAATAGAAACAGAAAAGGGATAATAAAAAAATAAAATTCACTGCAGCGGCAGTATGCCTCTGTGTGTGTGTGTGTGTGTGTGTGTGTGTGTGTGTGTGTGTATTGGAAGGAACACACACACACAATACACACACAGACTGACACACAGGACACAAACAGAACACACTTGCCCACACATTTTCGTGTTTTTCTTCTCTTTAATTATCCAGGGGTGCGAGGATTGAGCCCTCACGGGCCCCTTACAGACATGCAAGTGTTCTGGGCTGTGGCCCCCAGCAAGCAATGTGCACGTCCTAAGTGAAGGCGGGCCTGAATATCCACGTGAGGCCTACCTCCACATTTTCCATACGTGGGGTGTCAGACAGTTGCAGCAGGCCAGTTGGTTGAGCAACGTGAGCCTTCGGAGACTCCTGCCACAAGCAAGAGCTGCGCTGAAGAGTTGAGCCCAGGGCTCAGGCGGTTGCTCCCTGGGCACAGTCTGTGGGAGGCAGACACATCATGGGACTGGCCGCGGGCCAATGAGAATGCAGCATTGCCGTCACGCATGCACCGGGAGCAAATGAGAATGCGGCAAACATGTGGACCCTGGAGGGCAGCCTGGATGTCCCCAACTGTAAAGGGCCCAGCCCCGTAACAGCAACAGTGGACCTGGGCGCAGACACTGGGGCCCGACTGCAAGCTATCGGAAACTCATCCAGCCAGGCCCACGCAGCCGAACACAGGGCCGCACTTTCCATAAAGTAAAGTTCCCTGCCCTGGCGAAGGCATTCTGGCCTGTGCAGGCAATGTGGCTATGCTGCTGCGTTGTCGTACAAGCAGCTGTGTTAGCGCTGCTGGCCAGGGCGCACGTGGGCGCTAAGAGGTGAGAGGGAGCTGCGGTGGCAGAGGGCGCACGGCGGCCATAGCCGGGCCGAGTGTGCGGGTAGCAGGTGATGGCGATGGTGGTCTTCGGGAAGGAGGCGCATGCAGAGGGGAGTCAAGGTGTGATGAGAGGAGGAGAGAGAACGTACCAGGTGTATGCTTGCGGTGAGCATTGGTGATGACGTCACGACGGTCACGTACATTGGTCTTCAACGTCGATGTGATCTGGTTGCGAGAATGTAGATAGGTGTAGATAGGCTGAGTAGAGTAGGCTGGGCGCTGGGCGCCACTCAGTAGGAGCGACATTGGATACTGTGTTGGTGAGACCAGATAACATCGACATTGGCACATGAGTTCATTGTATTGCTCTTATTTGGATGATATCTTGGTGCATTGTGCTCTCTGCTTGGTACATGACTGTCTGGACTACTTCGTGATTTTTGCGACTTGCTTTCTGTCTATTGCTCTCGCTCATATTCCTTGCGGGGGCTATATCCAATTGATAAATAGACTAGATATAACCGTTAAAAAAAATGGTGGGCAGGGGTGTTCTAACTTCTGAGCCGCACACCCTGTATACATGAAATCGGCCTTGAAACTTCTTTTTTCCAGCTGACTTTAGGTATACAGGGTGCATGGACACTAACCAACACCCTGACCAAAGAAGAAGAAGAAGAAGAAAAAAAAACCGTATGGCACCCCTCCCATATGAGTAGCTTACGAGTACGGATTTGTATGGTCGTAGGCGTACGTGGTGCCGTACGGATCGCTACGCAGACGACCCTCCGAAGTGCAGCATCCCGAAAAAAGAAAAACCCAGCGTGGGCGCCATTCCTCTCCATTTGGGTTTGACAGCGCCAGCCATTCTGGTTCCGTAGCCCCAAGCCCCCAAAGTTTCGGATGCATGCAACCAACTCTTTTTTGGGGGCCTAGGGCCCATACTGGTGGCTTAAGATTTAGGGTTTAGGAAGGTGGCAACGTTTTTTCCTCAGAAAATGCAGATTATCCCCCTGGGTGGGTCTCCCAGGGTAACCAATGCTGTCCCATCTTTCCCGTCCAGAACTCATTTGATCAGTCGATGCATCCCACTCCCAGTTTAATCTGTTCTATTATGGGACGCTGGGCCCGGTTCCCAGCACATGATGCTCGTCATGAATAGATGTAGACAGTAGACTACAATTACTGAATCTGGACACCCGAATCTGGACACCTGAATCTGGACGTGTCTGTGGAGGCGCAGAAAATTGGCACTGATCTGCTTTCCTGAATCTCCGCATAAAACATGGCGCAGAAAATTGGCACTGATCTGCTTTCCTGAATCTCTGCATAAAACACATCCAGATTCAGGCACTTACTACTTAGTCCAAAAAATCCTCTTCGCCAGTGTGGGACCTTGCCCCAGAAACACAGTGTGGGTGTAACTGCGAGCTTCAAATGCCGCTGACCTTTTCAAAAACACAACAGAAAATAAAAAGCCCCTGACCGTCCATTCTTCTGGACCATAGGTTATCGCCAGAAAACTTTTAGGTGACAGGGGGGTGATATTTACTATTTACTATTTACTATTTTACTATGTACTTTTTACTATTTACTATTTACTATTTACCGGCCATTAATTTACCGCAAGTACAGACCATGGAACTGTGTGTAAGGGACTCGTCCAAACCACTCACCAAGTCCCAACATTTTAACTGTATCTGGACGAACAGCGTGGTCCAGTACGTTCAAAATGTTGGTGTTGGGCAAGGCCAAGTCTCCGTGGTAACAGTGAGAAGTAATTGAGCTTTACTGGGTACTTGCTAATTACCCTCAGGCCATAAACCAGAACTTTCCTGGATGCATCTGACCGAAATTGTGGCTTCTTGGGCATGCATCGGACTGTAATTTTCCGTCCAGGGGTGAGTCGAAAAAGCCTTAGAAGTTAGAACCAATGGGTCTAGCAGCTCAGTTGACCCATGGTTGACCCATGGACAGCTGAAATACAGACTTGAGTTCCAATCCAGATACCACCAGATGACCAGAAAAAAAAAAAAAAAAATCATTTCTGAATTACCTGGGGCCGGGATTAGTTCACTCTCAAGGCTGTGTTGCCCTTTTTTTTTTTTTTTTTTTTTTTTTTCTGGAAGCCTCAGTGTGAGCATGCCCTCAGTATCGAGTCCAACTTGCGTGATGACGGGTGTTTCTCCGCTGCAGAACATTATAAATGTATATGGAGCTGTTAATGGTCCCAATACATTCAAGATGTCCGATCAGTGCAAATGTATCGCTCCGTGCAACAGTGTAGATACATGTGGAATGTTGAGTAGCGGAGCAAGGCCCCACGTCGTATGCCGGTTTTGGAGCACATCCATAAAAAGGGGAAACAAAGAGGCTTGGATTTATGGCCTGAGGCCCTGAACCTGGACGTGTTCGTGGAAAGGTGCAGAAAATCGTGGTGAATCTCTGCTTTTCTGCGTCTCTGCTGAAAACCCATCTCAATTCAGACATTTAATCCAATCCTCTTTGCCAGTGGGACCTTGCTCCAGCTTGTGTAAAGATTATCATGTACTGATGGTTTTCTAAATTTCTAACGAGTTTTTTTTTTTTTCTTTTTTTTTTTTTGCAATTTTTTTTTGCATTTCATTACAAAGGAATGGGGAGGCCGGGAATCCCTGCACACAAACATCCCGGAAGACAAGTAACCTCTGAATCCGGACCATTACCCAGTTTATGGTGCAGGCGCTGGGAATTATAGTCTAGTACCAAAAATGGCTGAATCCAGACCGCAGCTCTGACATTTCCCAACCCTCAAAAAAAAAAGAAAAGGATGCCTTCATGGCCTAAATAGTTAAAAGCCTCCCAAAATACTTCAGTGATAAAAGAGCCCGCAGAATTGGTCCTACTCTTACCTATAAAAACCGGCCAAATGTTCCCAAAAGCAATTTTGTAAAGTAACAAGCACAGGCACAAATTCAATCTATTTTTTATTTTTTATTATCTTTTATTATTTATTATTTATCAAAGTTAACAACATCAACTGAGTGCGTCTACCAGGGGAGAGAATTGGAAGTAGCAAACAAGAACACATTCAATGTATAGGCTAGCTACATCAAATAAATGCTGCTACTGCTATTTTCTAACGAGTTTCAGTTGGTCTGGATCTGGTGTTCTCTCTTTTTTTCTTGGCCACTTTGGGCCGCGATCGGAAATTGGTCTACGGCGTCAGGCTTATGGACGACCTTTCCTTATTTTTGGCCTATCAGAGCGGGAACTCAATTTCCATTGGTAAAGCCGACAGCATTCGGAAAATCTTTGAGAAATGCTATCCTAAAGCACTGACACTTAAACGGACGGACGAAAAGACGGGGACATGGGACTTTCTCGGCTGTAAGTTGGAAGTCAGGCCATGTTTCCCGTACTTGGGGGGGGGGCATACAAAGGACCAAAAATGAAGGTACCCTATGGTCAACCCAGGAAATAATTTTAAAGACAGGACAGGATTACCGGGGTCTTGGTCGAGCCGTAAGCAAAAATTGGCCTCTATTACGGGGTGGCTGCATCGAATCTACAAAAACACGTCAGTTCGGACAAGCATTCCGAAACAGGTCCTGACACTGAGACTGGAGTATCGGGCCAAAGGCTTTTCAGACACTGTTTTCGGAAAAGCGGTCTGAAATTTTCCCCGGACGCGGGACGAGATTTGGAAGTTCACTGTAGAGCTACTCGACATGTAGATAGGACGGTAGACTATTCATAGCAGGTTTTGAGCTTTCCTAGTCCTCTTTGATCGCGACATGGCGATGGGGGCTGCCCCGGAACAGGTTGGAGGAATGAGTGGAGTAGTGTGTGGAAGAAGCTAAGGTGGGAGACTGGAGTACTCTCGAGTCCGTTTCTGCGGTCCTCAGGGGCGAAACTATTTTCTCAATTATAAGTCGTGTCTGATTTCATCTGGACTCTAGTCATTGGTCGGTTTTGTCAATCTATGACTGCATGCGTGATATCCCACCTCTGTTGTTTTTTGTGTTTGTGGTGATCCTTCTTTTTTTTTTTTTTTTTTTTCAGGCTCCGGATTTTCAGTCCGATGATTGGTATTTATATCTCGCGTGGAAGTATTGCCGCCGTGCGGAAGATTGGGCTGGTTGTCTCTCTTGTCTGGTTTCTACTGAAGTGGAAGCAGAAAGTCGTTGAGAGCGTCGTTGATGAGGACATGAGCCGATCGGTATGTTCTTTTACGTATTCTATTATTATTATTATTATTATTTTATTATAATATTACTATGATATTGTTATTATTATTATTATTTTATTTATTATTATTATTATTATTATTATTATTATTATTATATTCATGGTAGCCGGCGTTCGGCCACGCCCTGTAGACCCATTCGGCCGGAAAACTCTGAAAAAAAAAATGTATGCAGAAACATAAACTGATTTACCAAATTTGAAGTAAAAATAAAATACGGAAAACGAATTCGGATTTGAAGAACGCAGTTTTTGTGGCGCTGCCACAAAACATGACCTTGTGTGCGTGTGTGTGTGTGTGTGTGTGTGTGTGTGTGTGTGTG